TATTACATTTATTCAAGGAATAATAAATGGAGGAAATAGGAAGATGTTTTGTACCAGTGTTTGTTAGAGTGATTTTATATCTGCAGTGATACTTCTGTCTCTCACCCAACAGATATTATTTTGTTATAAAGCAGAGAGTGAGATGGCTCGACCACAAGGACAAATGATAGCAACAGTGTCTATTCATCACACTGAAGTTACCAAGATCTGAATTAACTGCCTGGTCCGTTGAAATCAGTGTGAGCAAAGGTGACCAACATGACTTCAGTCCTGTTGCAGCAAAGGTGTTACGAAGTTTCTGAAAACACGGCTGCTTTCAGACGGTGGTTATATTCGTACTTGCACTGTTCTGACTGTACAACCGGCTGGGAGACGTGCAGCACAGGAGCTGTTTTTTGAAGTGCTTGCGGAAGCTTTTGCTCATCAGGTATAGGGCAAACGGGTTCACACAAGAGTTGGTGAAGGCCAAAATGCGAGCACACACGCTGGCGATGAAGTGGCCCAATGAGGTGTCCACCTGGTCGTAGTGGTAGGAGCGGTACAGGTAGATCACGTGACTGGGCAGCCAGCAGACAGCAAACAGGCCAACAAACACCAGCACAGTTTTGGCCAGACGCTTTCTGGACTTGATCTGACGGGAGAGTAGAGAGAGCATAAATCAGTTCCTACAAACAAACAAAGCTGCAAGAATGTGAAGTATCTATGTGATATTTGACGCACCACCAGAACTTTGACTTCAGTGAAAAAAAGTGAATAACTAATAAATTGCTATGAATTTTAGCACTGAAAAGGTGTCAGCACAATTGCATGAGCATTTTATAAGAAAGGAATATGTAGCCATTTTGGAAATTGCGCTTATTTGCTTTCTTGACTGATAACTGCTCCTAGCTGGAGCCAGCAGCCGGTTAGCTTAGCTCAACACAAAGAAAGAGCCTACAGTTAGCCTGGCTCCGTCCAAAGTAACTTAATCCACCTACCAGCATTTCTAAAGCTCACTGTTGTATTTTGTGTAAATATTTTTGCCATTTTACAGGGTCATGTAACCTTGTGTCGAGTCATGAGATCAAAAAGTCACAAAATCATGCGAGAATCCATCTTGCC